AGAAGAAAGAAAAGCAAAAAGGTGGATCAAAACGAAAGAAATCTTGGACTGAAAAATTTCTGAAGAAAAAGAAAAACAAAGGGAACAAGAAGAATACAAGCAAACCTATGCAACAAGAAAGATGGAAGTCATGTTCCAGAATCGCAAGCATATGAATCAATTTCTAGTTTTACCCAAATTCTTATGGTATGCTTACGGTTTTCTTTTTCCATAAAAATAACATTCTGTGTTTTGAGAGTAACTTCATATTTTTTCTCTCTATTTTCTCTGTCTTTATTTTGGTCTCTGTATTCCTCTTTGTTTTCAGAGTTCAAATGTTGTTCAAGATGTCAGTAATCCTTACTCCTTGGAAGGGTTAGATGGCTAGGAATTTTAGCAAAACTTTAGTGTAAGTATAGGTCAATTATATATGCTGAATTGACTTGATAAATTATAATCTCTAAATTATTTTGTTTGTAGGCTTACCGAAGGCATGACTAATATTGGATGATACAGGTTTTTGTATATGAAATGGTGAAGACCTTCTTATGTGCAAAAGGATCCTCATTATCATACTCTCTTTTGTGTTAAGCATATTCTCTTTGTGGATGCAAGGCTGCTGCTGGTTGATGGAAGCTTTTGTATATGAAATTAGAAATAGAGAACCTTGGTGTATAGAAAAGGATCTCAGTTTGGCATATGTCTTTTGTATATGCAAGCTTTTGTATTAAGCTCTCAAATTGCAGCAGACACATGTAGCTTTGCTCCATTTAATTGCATTATAAGATGTATGTATTCTCTTCTCTGTTATTTGTAATTTCTCCTAAAGAAACAGATGCTATAGCAGCACTTGGGGAGGGAAGGAGGGGAAAAAATGGCTGATCCTGGCCATTCATGGCCTCTTGAATGGGTCAGATGCAGCTACTGCATAACTTGCAGTAGCAGTTCTAACTGCACCTGATCCAGGTCGGGCGGCGAGATCCAGTTCGGAGCTAGGGAGCTCTCAGCTCGACAACTCTGCAACGGACGACGGAGGCCCCGTTCGCTTCGCTGAAAAAACAAGCCAAAACACTGTTCCGGCTGATTTGTTGTGAGAGAAAAACACTGTTCTGGCTGAAAAAATAAGTTAAAAAAATGGATTATAAGAGAAGCAAACAGGCCGGAGGGGACTGAGGGGAACAGAGCCTGACCTGCGGGCCCAACGTGGCAGAGACACAAGGGGTGAGGGTAGGGCGGTGGTAGCGTGTTTGCTCTAGAGTCTGGACGATGCGTCATGCGTGTCCAATTTTTTTATAATTTAACCCTTTTTTGAAGAAAATTTACGTTTGCCCCCCTGGGAGACTTAAACTCATCTATGGACCCTGGGGGTCGGCGCCAGAACTCATGGCGCCGGGGTAACACGTCTCGGCGCCACAGATCTTGGCTCCGAGGTGCCTGGCCGTGCACAGCAGGGCATCCTAGGTGGCGTTCACGTGGCCGGTACCTCGGCGCCGAGCTCGGCGCCATGTATTCTGGCGCTGAGCATGGATTCAAAACCCGCAGCCAAGTTTCTCTTGCCGAGGTTGCTCTCATTTCTTCCTCCTCCCTCTCAGTTTCTTCCTCTCCCTAACCCGTCCAATCTCTTGAATCGACGAATTTAACCTTGGATACTTGGATTTGATCCATACATCTTCGCGGGCAAGGTATCCTCTCTCCCTTTATCAAATTTTACGCATTGATTTGATATATATTATGTCTATTTTGCAACCCTAGATACGTTAGTACCTAATGTTTGAAGTGATTTTTTATTTTTTGTATTATGTAACGGTAGGATGCCAAGGCGTGGTAAAGCTAGCAAGCCAAAGTAATATATTATCATCGTGTTATATTATGTTTTCATTTATGTGCAACAAATAGAAAAACCCTAGGTTTAGGGTTTAATGTTCATTGCTTTCGGTTCTTAGAACAAATTTGGTTCAATTGTAGTTATGGCCGGTTGACCGGAAATGCCTTTGACCCGTTGCCTCTGCCTAGTGGTGTTCCAGTGCCCATGTGCTTTTGCGGCGATCCTTGCAAGGTAGCCAAGTCCGATGAAGAGGACACGTATAGGCAGAGGTATTGGATGTGTGCCAATTTTGCGTTTGAGCCTACACTTCGTCAGCGCCGCATTAACAAGATGGTGAGAAATTGATGTTGTTTAATATTTATTTTGTGTCAAATAAAGTCTTGCATGATTTATTTGTTTTGTAACAATTGCATTTGTTGCAGACCCCTCCACCGCTCTGTGATTTTGAGCAGTGGATCGACACTAAGATCAAGCCGAAAGACAAGGAGTGGATGCAGAAACTGTTACAGTGGGAGACAGAGGACAAGGAGATGATGGAGAAGAGACGCAGAGAGGAGGCTTTAGAAAAGGAGCACAAGGAAGAGGAGGAAATGAGGCGTGTTGCTTCGCACAGGGAGGAGAGGGAGAGGAAGCTTGAGCGTGCGCAGCGAGCGAAGACAGCGATGGAGGAGAATCCCGATGCCCAGAGGAAGAGAAAGTGGTCTCGTTGCACTCAGTAGTCTTCATAACTTGCTAGTTCTATGGTATATTCACGAACAATGTTGTCTAATCTTGGACTTTGCATTGTGTTGTTAAGTAATGCACTTTTAGTTTGTTGTCATGTACTTCAAATGTTGTTATGTTGATTAATGTGCTCTATTATTGGACCTTTCATAGTGTTGTTGGTTTCATTATTTGTTGTCATAATATTGAGTTTAATATTGCATAGTGAAACGAGCTCACGTAGTGCAAATAAAACGTAACGAAGTTGTGGATTACCTAATTCAACACACACAACATATGAAATGACATATAATAACATGTACCAAACTAGGGTACATAGGTCCTGGACTAAACCTAATATGCCTTAGATAATTGAAGCAAACAACGAGCACATAAAATGGCATGTGAGAACATGTGCCAAACAAGGGTACATATTTTCTTCTACTAACCCTAACATGTCTTAGGTGATTAAACTAAAAACAAACAAACACATGTCCTCAGCTCCTGCTCCACTCCAGTTCAGCGGTACGCCAGGTGGCCGCCACAAGCCGGGCCGGCGAGCCATGCAACCGCCGGGTCGCTCCTCCTCCCGTCTGCCCTCCCTGGCTTCCCCTCCGTGGAGGCGTCGCGCCCTCCCTGGCTGCGTGGCAGTTTGATTGATATATCTAAGATGATAGACAATATTGCAATCACAAGGATCAAGGTTAACACAACTGAAAAAATAATAAACATGTAGAAGTGATTACTATCTTTTAGATAACTATTATGGGTTAGGGAGAATTTAGAATAATAGGGAGTATAATGCTCACTTAATTTCTCTCCCCCCTACGCTCTTGAAAACTATATTACTTTAGAGCTATAGTGTCTAGATACGGTTAAAAAAGTAGTGTCTATCATTAAATACCTGTAGTAAATTATAAAAAGAAAGTCCGTGCGTTCCAAACGTGACAAATATTTTCTAGCACATTTTTTTACGTAAGCAAGTTGTAGCACATCTTTTGACTTGCGAGTTTTGCAGCTGTGGATCCTGGGGGAACCCAATCAAAGTGGAAGGCGCCGAGCACCTCAACACGAGGGGCATCTTCATCTGCAACCACGCGTCGCCGCTGGACATCTTCCTCGTCATGGTACCGTCAGAATCGCCAAAAAGGAGGTCAGGACACAACATACACACACACAGGCAGCTAGCGTGCCACTAAACAACACAACTCTCCCTCGCTGAAATGACGTGCCTAGCTGCCTGCCTGCCTGTCACACAGATCATCTGGTACCCGCTGTTCGGGCAGCTCTACGTGCTGGCTAACCACCTGCGCATCGACCGCTCCAACCCTGCCGCTGCAATCCATTCCATGAAACAGGTATGTAGGCCGCTTTGGTAGTAGTGTCTGTCATCTCCATTCTCCGCTGCATTCTTCTCTCGTGTGTTGTGATCCCGCACGTGCCGTGTTCTCCCCAGGTCGCCCGAGCGGTGGTCAAGAACAACCTGTCCCTCATCTTGTTCCCGGAGGGCACACGATCCAAGAACGGCAGGCTGCTGCCCTTCAAGAAGGGGTTCGTGCACGCCGCGCTGCAGACGGGGCTGCCCGTCGTCCCCATCGTGGTGACCGGCACGCACCTGGCCTGGAGGAACAACAGCGTGCGGGTGCGGCCTGTGCCGCTCACCGTCAAGGTCCTGCCGCCGATCGGGACCGGCGGCTGGGAGGAGGCGCGGGTCGACGAGCACGTGGAGGCGGTGCGGTCGCTGTACGCCTGCAACCTCCCCGACGCGCAGAAGCGGCTGGATGCTCTGGCCGCCCGGAAGAGCGACTGATTTGTCGCCTCCCTGATGAGGATTCTTGCAAGCAGTGTTGAACGCCGATGAGTATCCCTAAATATACGTGGTTTTCGCTTCCTGAAAAACAATTTTGACTAAATATATATATTAAAAATATTAATATTTATAATACATGATTAGTATTATTGAAAAGATCTTTAAATCTAGTTTTTTAATAAATTTATTTGGAGATACAAATGTTACATACATTTTCTACAAATCGAGTTAAACTTGCGGCACGCACACCACCAGCAACATTTATTTAGAGACGAAGGGAGTAATCTTTTTGCACACAAATTATCGTGTGGGACGCAGAGCCTTAGTTTTCGGCACAGCATAGAAACACTTCTGTCAAAAATATGTTACATTTCAGCCGAAATCCATATATGTGAATTGGTAAGGTGACAAAAATTACACAGGAAACGCTGCATTGTAGGTGAATCTTTTACCAATGCTACAATAATGCAGGCCCTGTTATGCAACTGGTTAGAGAAGAACAGTAGTGGAAGTGTTGAACATATTGATGTTAGGCAGGGGCACAGGGCCGGTTCGGCTCTGTGCACTGTAGGTTCATCCAATCCAGCTGAGGATCGAAGCATTCTCTTCTTCTAAACAAGATCAATGGTATGAGCATGATGTATACACAGGTCAAAATGTGGATCATCCTAGTTCTTCAGCAAACTAAGTGGAAGACTGTTTAATCATGGACTCTCTTTCCCACTGGAAAAGGCCAGACTTCTCAACATCATCTAGGGACAACGCCGGGAACTCTGACAGGCAGGCACTGAAGGCATTGGAAAATAGGACCAGGAGGCTTCGGCAGGCCTGCTCTTCTTCCAGGCGCTCCATCCCGGTGTGCTGCAAAGCAGAATCCTTCCAGGGTTGATAGTAATGCCTGAGGTTGAATAAACACGATTAATTCCATGATGATAACACAGATATTCAGTGCTCTTGTCATCAAAAGAGAAGCATATAAAAACTTTAAATATTCTACATTCAGAGCCCATACCATCTCCATGCAGGATTAGATTCAGTTGGGCAGCGTATCTTTGAACAAAGCATTTCAATTTTCCCACGGTTGTTGGCCAGGTGTTTGTTCACTGTTTCATCAAAAAGGTAAAAGAAAGAGTGAGATGCTTCATTATTCCAGTAGAGATAAGAGCACAAAGGCAATATATGTTTGCAATTGCAACGCAAGAAATTATCCTAAAATTGATAGATTAATTTCATCAGAATGCAGCAAAGTCAGTGTACCTTGCTTACTGGATCTGTCAAGAAGCAACAAGCAAAGGGCTGTAACAACTGATGGCAAGGAATCACTGTTCTTTGCCACATGGTCTTGAAGGTACAGTATAATGACAGCTAGAGTATCATTTGCACTGCAACTCGTTGCCGTTTCAACCCTTTCACATGCATCGTCCAAGAAAGACCTAAGAGTTTCAAGACTGCTGGTGCTCCGTGCAAGATCTACACTCTTTCCATGAGAGATGCTAGATATCTTTCCAAGTATTACAGAAGCGGCTAACAAGCGCAAAATCTTCGAAAGTAGAGACTCATTTCTCGGTGGCTCTTTGCAGGATATTTCCAACAGAGATCTTTGGTTGGAGTACAGCCAGAAGATGCTTGAAGTTGCCCAAGAAACAACCATTGATATTCTTGACTTATCCTGTGAAACAAAACAAAGATTTACATATAACATTTATTTCATATAATACTTGGTCAGACAACACATTGACAATGGTATAATAATGTGATTTTAGTGGCTTGTGAAATAAAGGCAGTGCATGAACAAAGTACCATTTCAGAAAAAAATGGTATAGGACCATTCATCAGAATGGCATCGATACCAAGTTCCATTGCAGGCTTATGCTCTGTACTTCCTGAGCTACCACCAATAGCTTGGCACAGATTAAATACACCATGGAGGGACAAGGTAAAATGTGGTTGGTATATCTTCCTTTTCATAGACAGCCTCATTGTTGATGTAATCACACTTAGCACTGAAGTCAACAAGCGAGCATTTCCTTTCAATAATTTGGCATTGTTAATTAGGAGGACAGAAAGGTATGATGATATTGCCGAGAGCTGCTCAAGGGCAGTTTCTTGGAGCCAATCTGTGATTAATCTTGATGATATCAAACCATTGACTACCTGAAGAAAGCAAATAAATTTATAGGATTAGTGACAAAAAAAACAGCTTCACAAAAATGCTACAGAGCAAATACATCCATAGCTCGCTACCAAAAAATATAATATTTATACAGAATGTCACCAGGCCACGATAAGATGTCAAAGTTGACCTCTGATGGAGGATTTATGTCACCCCAAGGAAAAATATACACAGGAACTAGTCATTCAATCATTTTTATCCATCAATTCTATCATTCAGATGAACAATGCTACAACTGACAACAATAGCCGTTTGTGCCAAAACTATCCCTTTATAAATAATCTAAGCAAATGTGGGTTTCAGCAAATGCTTGCTAGACAAAACTGCTCAGAACTATACTATAGAATAGTTGATTTAACCTAGATATGGAGCTGATGCACCAATAAACCAATTAGTAATTAGACTATGATTGCAAAAATTCCATCTGTTCCATCTCTAACATGATGAACTTCCTCAAGGCTGTTTATGACAGTGAGTTTGACTAAATGCAGAACAAGCATCAAAATAACAGATCAATATGTCCTACATAATATACCAAACAGTACACAAACCAGTTATATGCTTTAAAAAATGATAGTATGGTCCTCATGTTCAACAGAACTTTCATGAAACAGTTGATCAGTTGCCAGTTGCAGCCAAGACTCGGTGCAAAAAAGATGAAAAATCACGTGCTCTATTTTTTTTCCTTCTGAAGGGGTGTGCACTATAGCAGAAAGTAATTTATATTAGTGTTTTACCTCCAACGCTAACTCAGTAACTCTAGAACAGGAGCTTTCAGAACCAACAGACCCTTCACTACGGACTGAAATAACAGACAATAACCACAACAGAATGCCAGACTCTTTTACTAGATGATGAGCTAGAACTGGCAGCTTGACACACTTCTTCAGCACCTACAATGCAAAGCAAGCATATCAAATATAAATAAATATTCAAATCTCCAAGCAACTATCAGATCCAGGAAGTCAACTGGACTAAATAAGATGACTACAGAATTTACCTTAAGGACTAAAACCTTCGATTCAAAATCTGAAACAGGTGAAGAACAGAAGGCAAGAACAAGCTCTAAGACTCTTCCTCTCTTGTATATTTTAGCATCATCAGCTAGATTTGATCCAGCAGATAATAACCGAAGCATCCACAAACGTTCAGCTTTAAAATGCACAGAACTGCTCTGCAATAAGGTTGGAAATAACGGAATGCTCTGCAACAAAAAGGATAATAATATTACTAAAATTCAATACCTCTGAATATACACTCTGAGATGCTACATATATGCAAATAAAAAGGAAAGAATGGTTACCTGCAGGCTGACAGAAGTGGAATGCATTAAAAAATTTCTAATGACAGTAAATTGAGCGTGTGAGCCATCCAGTAGCGTCAAAGATGCTTCTGCGGCAAAAACGGCAATAATGGAAGGTATCTTCTGCCACTGTTCGGATATCCCATTCTGAAGGTATGTCAGAAGGAGCTGAAGCTGCCATGTTTCCTTGCTTCTCTGAGCATACTGTAAATATGTAAAAGTACATTTTAAGTGGTTGGATTTTTCAAGAAAATAACAGACACGTTTCACACAGAAGGATAAAGGATCACAAATACAGAATACCATACAAGTGCCTTTTGCACTCAGATCTATATGTCATAAAAATGCTCCCAGAATGTCAATGAGCATAATCTTTATGCTGTCATTCAAGTCAAATAAGCATAAAAGCCATCACACGTGAATAACATTAACAAATAAAAAAAATGTAAACTATAGGAATTTCAACATACTTAAATAAGCATATACACATTCTAACAAATGCTAGAATTTGAACATACTGATACAAGCATGTATATTAATCAACAATATGTTCGCTAAGCGAAGATAAGTTGTAACATAGAAAATCCAATATAAGCAGATAGGAGTAGTTGATAAGTATATAAACCAATTGAGACAACAGGTAAAATTTAGAGATTCATGAAACAGCAGGTACCTCAAGGGATTTTTTCAATGTTCCTAGGCACTCATAGCCCAACATCCTTAATTCATGATCAGGAGATGCTATACTAACAAGTGTGATTGCAAGAAGCCCTAGCCGGGCAAATTCAGCAGGCTCAATGTAACCCATGTGAAGGGTATGAATTGAGAATCGCAATATAAAAATAGAATCGTAAATCTGAACATCCATTCTTTGAGATGTTACCTGCCAACCAGAATCAGATGAAGATAGATCAGCGAGGTAGATTTAAATAACGTTACTGTGAAAGCACAAAACCTAGAACAATACCCAAAGTTCAGTTGACACTATTATTCCAGAAATTACCTCGAAACTATCAGCAAAGTTATCCCGTTGAAGCTGTTCCAGTGAGAAAACAGAAACCCTTGAAGATCTTTTATAGCAATATAGCAAAGATGTCTTTGCACAGAGCTTGGAATCAACAGGTATGTTCTCCCGAAAGAGCGTCCGTCTCCTTTCAGTAATCTCAGCATTCTCTGTGTTATGCGTATCTGATTTTGAAAAATCTAGTTTCAGTTCTTCTCTGAATTTCAGAGCAGAAGTTCCCCACAGATGATCGACTTCAGTAATGGTTCGGCACTCGGGTGACTCTATCTCATTCATAAGGTGAAGTATCTCCAAATCTGTTTCACTAAGGGTTGCGCCATAAACAGACAAAAGCAAGAAAACTAATTCTCTTGACTCGCTCAATTGGCTATTATTCTGTTGTCTGCTCTTAATATCATACAGTACCCTTAGTAATCTGATGGTTTCAACTCTTCTCTTTTCTGCAATAGAAATTTCTGCCTTATATTCTTCCATGAAAGAAGAATCAACTAATTTCAAAATACTTGGAGCTAGCTGTAGCATCCCTCCTGTGGTGTTACAAGCACATGGATACTCAGAAACTTCATTGCATGTTATTGTCGATACAAAATTGGAGTGACCCAGTATAAGTTCAAGAATTTCATCAGCTGAGAACTTTCCTTGTGATAGCACAACAAGAATACACCGAATTGCTTTTGTTGTGACAGGATCATTGAATCTATGCAAGAGGGATGATCTGATGAATTGGGCAAGGAAAGGTATTGATTTCAGCTGATTTAGATAGCTTTGAATCTCTGAGGACAGTTCAATGATATTCTTGAGAATTACATATTCCAGAAAACAGATGACCTTTCTTTCCTTGGTAGAGTATGAGAAGATATTGTCACTCGATGGGAAATTCATGAGTATTCTATCGATAGTTCTGACCAATATGCTAATGAAATTTAGTTTTGCTTTGTGCACTCTCTTGGACTCCCTCTCTGAAGCTACTTCATTGGACAATGATTTTCCAGGAGATAATAACAGTCTAATTAGTGACACCTTCGCGAACAATTCATTAGTAAACTTCATAATGCTATTGCACGAAGTGGGATTAATATCATTAACATCAGAATCTAATAGCTCAGATGACTCTGGAATAATTGAACTAACTATTTCCAAGCGTTGTTTCCATGAAATTTCTTTCGATGCAAAGTAGTAGTGCAACATCGGAACTGACTTCCCCAAGAGAGTGCTACTGAAATAAACCATTATATCTTCAACTGATGTGGGTATAAAGTCCCTAAAATCTTCCTCAAAAATGCTCCGGGTAACAAAGCTTTTCCAACTTGAAAACCCTTTATCACATAATAGTAGTTCAGAATAAAAGATTGGAACTGGTTCAAGGAATTCAGCACACTGCCTGTTGTCATCGCTGTGAAACTTCAAGCATGATAAAGCAGCAGGCAACAGAAGTATAGCACCATCTGCTTGAGCCCATAAATTGTTAGAATCAGAATCCTTGACTTGCAAAAGAGAAGTGTCTTTATTTAAAATTTCCAAGAATATCTGGCTAAAAAAATTCAGATGCATAGGACTTGCTTCCAAAAGCAACAGGATTGCTTTTGCTTTAACCTTAGATGTGCGAAAGATGCAGTGATGAAGAGTGTCAATCGGAGTATTGATGGCCATTGTAGATAATATCATATGGAATGCAATATAGTCAGTGTTCCATCCTGCACATCTTTCTGTGTGATGAATACGACACAGCATCTTCAACAAGCAATGATCAGCAAATTCAATATTCCACTTAGTAGCAAAATGAAGAATGATGTGATAGGCTTGTTGAATGGCATTGATATCAGAATTATGGATCTCCAAGTCCCGAAATAGATGGGAATCTGATCTCTGATCAGTTTTTTGTAGATAACAGCACAGCATTTCCATGGCGACATCAGTAATATATAGGCACATCAAAACAGCAGGAACAAAAGCAGGTGAACTGGAGCTGCGACCGTCCAATTTTGGGAACATCCAATTTGCAAGGTTCAGGAGTTTGACAGGAGAAAAGAATTTTGACAGTGTGCGAACCATGTAGAAATTTGGCAAAAGCAATCCAAAGTTTACTTTGTCCATGCAGAGCTCAAACTTCTCCTTGAACAACAATATTATGTTCTCCAGCAGAAGATTTGGAGCAGCAAACAGTGACTCATGGGATGGGCCATTATCTGTATAGTTACCTCCATAGCTACCAAATATTAGCAAAAGGTCATACAATTTACCCAAAAGGTTTAGAACAAAACAATCTATAAGGTGCAGATTTTCCTTCGCAAAACTAGCCAAAGCTTCTTCCAGATGTTCCAAACTCCCATCTGCTAAATTTTGGCAATTGGATAAAGAGCATGACAAAGACAGGGTAATAACAGGATGCCGAAGAACAGAATCAACAATGTCTTGGATACATTGAACTGGATAGGCTGGGTATGCAGATTTTGACTGTGAAAGGTCAGCAGTCAAAACTTGAATACGCTCGAATACTCTATCAAGAAGACCAAAGCACAAATGACATGGTTGCTCAAGATTATTTGAATTTGAATCCTTAATAGTATATGATGACAGTAGGTGATGAGTCCAGAACAAGATGACTCTCAGATACAAGGTAAGCTCACTGAATGTGCAATCAGACAATTTAACTTCAAGAAGTCTTAGAAGTGCATCCTTATGTGCTTCCCTGATTTCATCTGGCGAAGAAAATGCAAGGCTCAATACTGAAGGTAAAAGCGCACAGAAGGGACTGACACTTAAAAATGTACTTAGAGGAGCTGATTCTGTTGAAACAGAGAGGTTCTGCCATTCGTCCTCAACTGTGCTTACATGGTCAACATTGATATCATCCTTTAACAGTCTGATGCTGCTGAAGAATATATCTGGCCAACAACTAGCAACTTTAGCCAGATAATCATGTTGCAGAAAAAGAACCGAGGACAAGAAAGCAACATGAGATGGAAAACGTGTTTTCACAACATCAAGAAGATCTGGAAAGGCACCGATAACATCTTTTGGAGGTGCACATATGATTGAAAATAAGAATGCAGTTGCTACATCATCCAGCGAATTAGTTTGTTCTTGATTCAACATTTCTTCAACCTGTCTAGATACAGAGCACAACGAGTTACCATCAAACTCAGGAGAATGTTCCGGCGTGTTGAACAGGCTATAATTTTGTTGGTAAGAAATTCTCCTCAAGAAATGCAGCATATTTGTTAATGGCCTCCACTCAGCAAGATAAATCCTAGAGTTCAGTTCTTGGGATGAAAATTTATCAAATCTTTCATTTAGAACAGTACCTATAAGATCAGGCAATAAATGCACGTCCACCTGTTAGAATCAGCAGTCTAGTCAATTCTTCATGCAAATCTGGTAAAAATATTATAGACAATACAGGGAATGTCTAATATACCTGAGACTGAAGAATAAGGTGGATCGTGTTGCACACATACAATGAAATTGTGGACTTCTCGTGTAACTTTGTGCTTCCAGACTCTGTGTCGAGTAGCCTAAGGCATTTCTGAAGAACACAAATAATCAGAGGGCTGAAAGCTGGAGAACAGCCTACAAACCACAACAGAAAAGGTTGACATACAGATGAAATTGAATCTCATCAGGCAATATTTAAATAGTAGAAGTGAAAAGAGTGAGAAGCATCAACAAGATGAGTCAGTGATTCATGTCAAAGAACAGATGTAACATGTACAGTGTTTATAATAAGAAAGTGTTATGGAGTGATTTTAGGATGAAGCACATAAATTGAAATCCAAAAGGAAAAAACTGACTGGAATTAAACAAATGATAACATGGCAGAGCATTTAAACAAATAAGTTGCTAACATGGTCAGATGATACTATGGAAGGCTATACCCTCTCAAACCTTGGTAAGTTTTTTTTAAGTCAACTGCCTATTCTTGACATTCCATTTGGCATACTACTGTTCTACAGCATGAGGCAATACAGCTGATATGATGGAACATAGACAAGATAAACAGCTTAGCTTGAGCAGATACTTGACATACGATTAATATTTAATTTGACGAAAGAGCAACTACTGATCTATTAACATTTCACAAAGAAAGTAGTACCTTCCAACTGGCCTGATTTAGAGATAAGCTTGCGTGTGTGCTCTTGGTATTTATACAGGTTATTACAAACTACCGAAATAGCATCACACAGAAAAGGGATTACAATGTGTGATAATTTATTAGGTGCTCCAACTCTTAGGTTCTCTCTTACACACCATTTGGCCTCATAACCAGGCAAGAAAACCAACCATGCATCAATCTCTGTGAAGTTATGATCAAATGCACCAGAACTTGCCATAGCAGCTTTAACTAAAATATATGCTTGATCACGGATGTTCTTCATCTGTGAATGCAACATGATATAAACCAAGGGTTGCAGATACTTGTACATTGATTCTGGAGCTCTTTCTGGGTCCAAACATCCTCTAGATTGGCCTGAATACTCAAGTAAAAGAGATAACAGGGACTGTTGCTCATCCATGGACAGATCCAATGGGTTAGGTGGTATAATCTTAAAGAAGTCATATGATCCATCAAAAGAGCTGGGCATCACCCCCTGAAAGAAAATTAGATGTTGAAAATATTAATACTATAAACTGCTAATGAATCCCATCGATTATAGAAGTAGAGACTAGGGACATGCACCCAAAAAATCAGGTCAAGGTCAGAAGAATTAAGAACATCCAGCAAGTGCACACAGAGCATTGAATTTAGCTGTACCTACCAAATAAAGCCTGAGAACATCCAGCAACTTCGAGTGGAAGACATGTTCTACAACATTTGCATCTTTCATCTTCGTATCTTGTTTATCTAAGCTCCATATCTCACACAAGGTGGTTGTGCGGTCATTTTTTAAGTCCAGGTCTCGTTCTTCAGACGCGTCCTTATCCTGTTCAACATCAATGCCACCAATAATAATATCATCAACCTCACAGGAAGGACTGCATCTTCGTTTCTTTTGAGGAGGCTCAGAAAGTTGAGCATTTTTCTTTCGTATGCTCTGAGAGTAATTTTGATGTTTCTGGCTGGTAGAAGAGAGTAACTTGAGAAGGACTTGAGGATCAGGCATAGCTCCATGAACTTCATCTTGGATGTATTCTCTTAGAGATGTCCACCTCTTGACCTGCATTTCATCTTCCTGGTGAACCTCATCAACTAAGGATGCATCTGTACCATCAGAACAGCTTAATACTGGGAAATCATCTATTTTCATGGTTACTTTCTCTGAGCCAATGAATTCTGACTTCAGTCTCCCTTTTGATACCATGCAATTGATGGCTTCGATAATATAACAAAGCAGGTTAACTGATTCAAAAACAAGCCTCAGAGAACCATGCTTCACAAGATCATCAGAATGCAGCAATCCCTATTTATCATTGCTCATGAGCATACATTGGGCACGATGCACTTCAAGACTACCTGAACTTCTTCATCATCTACAGATACCAGACCATGTGAATTGGATGAAAGAGTTTGAACAATGCTATCACATTTTGCTGAAGCTATGACATCAGCTGCAAGGGAGATGGCCGAAAACCTGCAAATAATAATTTGACCAGCATGAGCATATTGCACTACAAAAATAAACAGATAAATGCTCAGAAGAACTAACCATGAAGGAGACGACCGTGGTTCAATATTGTAAGGAAACTTGCTTCATGTACGCCCGAACAAAGAGACAGCCTATTACTCACAATGGCCAGCAACAATTTTTTGTGGTGAGCAACCTCAGTAGCTTTCAACTTTTCATGAGATCTAAGGCTTTCTCATTACCTCTCAAGTTTGATCCTGGCATCAATCCATTTTTCGGATCAGTGCACACCATGACCAATACCTCATGAGCAAAGTCAGCTGCTTCCCCTGCATCAAGATTCCCTGAGATCAAGCTCAGCTGCTCCAATGTGACACTTCCAAAGAGGACACTCCTTAGCCCTGGTGGGACAAGTGACTCATCTACCAGGACATTGTCTCGCAGAGTTGAGAGGACGTACATGACGGTCGGTCTCAGCATCATCATTTCCAATCCCACGAAGCACCCCTGAATATACCTCCTTCTGTTGAAGGATCCATCTTAGCAGCCTTGGATTCCCAACCTCCAAAACGACATGGCAAACCCAATAAATGACCGCCTTGTGGACCCAAATTCAGCACCCTTCCTCCGATTCCTCCATCCCTGCTCCCTTTCTTCTTCATTGTCCCAGTGAGCTGCGGCAAAATAGCCATCTTAAAATCAAATCTCTCAGCGACCTCCGGCGCCAGACCCCTCCACGCCTGACAATTGCAGCAAGCAAATCCAGAGCGGCATTCTGCCGTCGGAACTCGCCACTGTTCAGCTCCAGATACACATCCCCATCTTCTCCTTATCCTCCAGTATCATCCTAGCGACACCGTCCCAAGCTCTTCTTAACGAACCATGTCGCCGCAGCTTACCATCAGGGTGGCTCAGGACGGCCGCAAAGAGGGAAAGTATGTACGCCATCCCTGGCTTCTCCCGGTGGAGCCACCACGCCTCGATCAGCTCCCTGAGCTGCGGCGACTGCTGCACGTACTCCTGTAGCACCTCCCCGCCGGACTCACCATCCAGTAGTACTATGAACTCCTTAGACGCGTCCGAGTAGATTTTCACCTCCGAGGTGTGGAGATTCTTGAGGATGTGCACCAACCTGACCTTGTGGGCAACCGCGAACGGCTGCGTCCAGGCATCCATCCCTACCTTCACTAGAAAATTTTGCTCCCGCTTGGGCGGCTCCACCGCAGGGGAGGCCATGCCGTCGTCGCTCATGGAGTCTAGGCTGAACCACCAAAGTTTGTGTAAAATAAAAATGCACCAGCACTTTGGATCGCAACTCCAATGTATGTCGCGCGCGTTGAATAAGTAGAATAACCTGGGAAAAAAAACAGCGGCCTAGGGTTTATCAGCAACAAGAGAAATCAATCCCCAAGTGCGAATGGAAATCCACTCCACGCCAGCTCATACCAGTACGGGAGCGGAGGGCGGCGAAAGACGACGAGATGAAGAGGAGCGAATCGTTGCTTCGGTGCGGACCACTTGCTTCAGTGGAGTGGAAGCCTGCAAGGAGGCCGGCGGCGGTTTCGGCGGCGCGGGCGCGCGCTGGGGAAGGAGACGACGGACGGCGTCGGGGCCTCGCGGGGGATGCTTTCCTTTGGGGGTTTTAGTGGCAGGCCGGGCCATGATTTGGGCCGAATATTGAACAAATTGCAAGGCCAGGGCCGGAGTTGTAGCCAAGGAAGGCCCATACCTGGACCGACATCAGGTCAATCTAGGCCCAGTAGTCCGGTACCAAAACATGAGCCCAGAGCCAAGTCCGATCGTGCCACCGTCGTTCCCGTTCCTGAACTGTCAGAGTCAGACCATGTCTTCCCTTCCGTCTCGGGCTCGGACCGTCGGACTCTAGTTTTCGCTTCCGTTTCTTTTCTTGCTGATGATTATGTTGTGAGGCCGACACCGATAGGGATTGCCAGACTCGTGTAGGTGCGTGTATATATTCATGCGATGAGAAGCGTGCCCACAAGGCCATCAACAGCAAGGGCGTGCCTTTCAAGTTTCAACCAACAGAACTTCAGAGTTGAGATCAATCTGCAGCGCCGCTCCGCCGCCTGCCAAGTGTGCCAGCTGCCATTCCCGTCCCTAATGGCACCACGCACGATGAGCAACCTGCACCAGGGTGCCACGGCGGCCGTCGTGGCACCACGCACGACGAGCAACCTGCACCAGCGTGCCCGGCCAGCGGCGACGCCCGCGGCGAGCCCCCGAACCCCAAGACCTCCTCCAGCGCGTGGCGGAGAGGGCGACCGCAACGCACAACTTCATGGTGATCGGATACTCGGAGCTCAAGAGCTTGGGCGTCGGCCAGTACGTCAGCTCCGACGCCTTCCGCGCCGGCGACCACGACTGGAAGATCAGGTTCTACACGAAGCTGGCGCAGGAGCGGGAAGGGAGCGCGATAGCCGATTACCGCCCGCCTTTCTTCCCCGGGAGGGGCGAGCCTGCACCTCTGCGACGCCGACGAAGACACGGAGCTGACGGTCAGGTTCTTGCTCAGCGTGCTGCAGCGGGACAGCCGCGTGTCGCCCATGGCGAGCCGGACCACGACGGAGATCTTCGACGCCTCGCCGCGCCAGCGCTACGGCTTCCACACGCTCATCGACGGGAGCATGCTCAAGCCGTCACGGTGCATCCACACCGACGCGCTCACGATCCGGTGCGCCCTCACCGTCTTCAGCACCACGGCCCGGTCCCACCACCTGTGCTCACCGCGACGCCGCGCACCTCGGCCGCCTGCTCGATCGGGACCGGGATGGGCGCGGACGTCACGTTCCAGGTGGGCGGCCGTGCGTTCCCGGCGCACCGGATCATGCTCGCCGCTCGGTCGCCGGTCTTCAGCTCGGAGCTCTTCGGTGACATGATGGAGAAGGACGCGCCGTGCATCAAGATCGTCGACATGAGGCCGGAGGTCTTCGAGCTGCTTCTCCTACACGGACGCGCTGCCGGGTGACGGCGAGGGTTGCGACGGGCGACTATGCAGCACTTACTGGTGGCGGTGGATCGGTACGGGCTCGACACAGGCTCAAGCACATCTGCGAGGGGAAGCTGCACGCTAGCGTTGACGCGGAGACGGTGGCGAGCATGCTTGCTCTGGCGGAGCGCCACAACTGGCCCCAGGCTTCGAGATGTTTGCGTCGCGTGCATGTCTTCCGTCCCGATCCCTCGACGAACCTCAAGCATCCTGAACTTGGAGGCGGCTTGCCACTTTGTCGGGAGACCACCGTATCGTTTTATTAGTATGTATTGATATTATTTTTTTAGATATGGCCTAAAAAAACAATGACTTCCATGTATGGTCTTTTTTTTTTATGAAGCTAACTTTTGGGTGTTTGGGACTCCTTTGCTCCCGTTTTTCTAGCTCTACTCCATGAACTCCATCATGGAGCAATTCAAACATGGAGTTTGTGGAGCAGGTGGTACTGTTTGACACACAGCCTAGCCCTAACTCTAGCTCCAGGAATGAGTTATTTGCATGCAAATGGTCCATTATGCCCCTGGTTGAAATTGCACTTAATAATTCTGGTTTTTAACTTTTAAATGGTCTTACAATAGTTTAATTAATTTTTAAAGTTTAAAGATTCTGGGGATTCTTTTGCTGATTTATTAATGATTATTACTTTTTCCAAGGATTATTAATATTTTTCCTTATATTTTTTATGATTTTTTGATCAGTTTCCAAGTACCAATCGCTTTGTACGTGGATGAAATACATGGATGAAAACGGGAGCAGTAGCCTCCTATTTGCATATCTACGGAAGAGTCGCGGCTCACGGCCTTCACGTTTACGGGTAGGGGACGCAATCAAGGAAACTAATTGGTGATTAATGAGTGGCAAGGTGGGTAATTATCCTATAACTTCATGTGGGAGTATAACCTCTTGACGTACTACAGAAAAAACGTGGAGTTGGCCTCTGGCTCCAACTTTTTTTGAGGAGCTGGAGGTGTTTGACAACACGAAGCTGGAGCGGAGTAGTCCCAAACACCCCTTATAAGGCCCGAAAACGAATTTGACTGTATGGCGTTCCGTCTATTTCTGCCACTTAACAGTGTTAAGTGCTCCTAGCGAAAAAAGATTAAAGTGCAGAGCATAGTTGTATATTTTAGATCTGGAGTAATATTGCGCATGGTTTAAAGTGTTCATAATTACATAAATAAATTTAACAATATTTTTTTTACATGGCATAGTACATAATAAGATACACAAATACATTGCAATAAAATTATCTTATCAAATGCCTTTGCATTGGTGCTGGCACTTTAATATTTTTTTTGTCAGGGATAAAATAATCATTTTACCCCTCAATACCGTTAGTTGGTTGAAATGGACCGAAGGCCACACAGGTAAGTCAAAATCGTTTTTAGGCCTTATAGATAACTCGTGGGAAATGGGAACATAAATGCTATGTTTTATCCTTTTGTTAATATTGGCAATAATAGAACAATGTTCTATGAAATTTATATCAAATTGATACAACTTTGCTAGATTCTCTCCCATGAAAACCACAAAATATTTACTTTCTATCGAGGCATCCTATCGAACAACCACCAGACAGACATGACATGGGATCTAAGACAGATGGAAACGGCTCATGATCAACCACGCAGTTGATACGTCTAAACGGTGATGTGAGAGCGACGACCAGGCAGCCACCGGCGCCGTACTGCCACGGTGCTTACGACAAGCGCGCTGCTTAGAGCCGTCATCTAGCTCTGTGTGTCACACACCCACGTCCTTCACTGCTGTGAAACGAAGGAGAGAAAAGGGGTTACGTGCGTTGTGCTAGTGGTCCTCTCCGGCATTCCGATATGAGATTAGGGTGGGTGCCCACTCCGTGCCGGCAAGTGGGTTGGCAGCCCCAACACAGAGCCCACGGTGGCGCACAGCGAGCCCAATGAGCATGGATGCCGAGCCTTAAAACAACGCAAAGATGTCGCTCTTCGCTCGGTCGCCAGTTCGGTCGTCGATCTTCAGTCTTCACATAGACGTCGCTCTTCACTCATCGCTCCGCTATCACATGACCTAGCTTTCCGTGGCGGGAGTCCTCGCCTAGCTGGGTGTATGGCACGGTGACATGACGCCCTCGTTCGCCTTTCGATGTGCAGATCACGGAGATGCTCTCGGATGCCGATGCTGATATGATGGCTGCCGTAGGTCACGTACCAGCACGACGTCGGAGTTCACGGGGCACCCGATGCTGTACACCATCCTCCGGGCCTTCGACTCGAAAACGTCCACCCAACACCGGCAAGGCTAGTAGAACCTGCCATCCGTGAGCTACATATACGACACGAAATTGCCAACGACCTGTGCGTTCTCGTACAGCTGCAACCAGCATCCGCGGCGCCGTTTGAAGTACTGTGCGTATGGTGAAGAAAACAAATCTAAAAAGAGGCTTGTTTGGGTGGTTATAAAGTAATGCTAGTACTTTTAGATACTTTGTATTTTATTTTGACAAACAATTAATTTATTAAGAAAGAAAATAAATTAAGTGAGAGAAGGGTAGTAATAGGAGGAGCTTTAGCCCTTGTTTAGTTGGAGAAATTTGGATTTTGGGGCTACTGTAGCACGTTCGTTTTTATTTGGCAAATAGTGTTCAAACATGAACTAATTAGGCTCAAAACGTTCGTCTCGCAATTTCCCACCAAACTGTGCAATTAGTTTTTCTTTTCGTCTACATTTAATGATCCATGCACGGGCCGCAAACATTCGATGTGACAGGTACTATAGCAACTTTTTAGAAGTTAGGGTGGAACTAAACAAGGGCTTAATGGAGAATACTGTGTACAAACCTTTTTCTTCACGGAGAAGCTATTTGACCGCACAACCCGACGTCCACACATGTTAAAAGCAAGACCCGACGTCAAGATCGGCCACGCGTACGAGCCGTTCCCGTGCGTGAAGAAGATGAGGGAGCTGCTGCCGGTGCCGGAGGCGAGCTGCTTCCTCTCCCTGCTGCTGCTACCCAAGGCGACGGACGGGTCCAACACGCGGTACAACGCCCTGGAGGACACCCTCGCGCGCGCGGACGCGCGCGTGGCTACTGTCGTCGCAGGCCTCCGGCGTGCCCTTCGTGTTCATGAACGTGCAGACGGAGGTGCTGCTGACCAAGATCTCAGGCGAGACGGCGCTGTCGACCGTGAACATGGCCTCGCTGTCGGACCTGGCCGGCATGGCGAACGCAAGCTTGTACGGTTTCAAGGACTACCACGGCGTGGACTACATCGTCACATCGGCGTGGTGTGGGCCGTGCGGGCGACACGCGGCTAGCGCTGGAGCTGCACCGCGCGGCGCCAGGGTGTCCAAGCTGCTGGTGCTGTCCAGCGTCGGCGGCGAGAAGGTGCTGCCCTGGGTGGTGTCCACCGCCGGGAACGTCAAGTGCTTCGACACCGTGTCGCTGAGCCAGAAGCTGTCGCTGCACTGCCACGCGCTCCACCCCATCACGCTGCACTTCCTCTGCCTAAGGGACGCCGACGTCAAGAAGGCGGCGCCGCCGCCGCCTGTGCTCCTGCTGCCGTCGCCGCACGACGTGGCGGCGGACGACCTCGACGGGTCGGCTGGGGCTTGCCAGCAAGGACTCGAGGGACTCGTCGTTTAGTTCCGCAACATCGACCTCCTAGACCCGCATTTTTTTGGGTACTGGTCTCGCGTATTTTGATACTTCCCGGTACTTTTTAGTATTTCTTTCCTCGTACTTTCTATTTTTTCACCGTGCAATCTAAATCAATGGACGGTTCATATTTTTTCCAACCAACTTAAAACTTGTAATCTTAAAAAAGAGATATATTAATGTATGGAAAGAATAAGTGACCAAGAGCAATCCTGCCATGGTACGACACACTAATGAGTTCTGGTCGGAAACACACAAATCAAACAAAATCAAAATCGTATTCGACAATATTATACGAGCAAGAATGTAGGGACTCTCGGAGGGAAAAAAAAACACGGATTGTGTGAGAGCGCTTGGCCGGCAATGTTACGCAATAAATCGTATCTGGATTAGTATTTCAACCATCTATGTTACCTTAAGAACTCGTGTTGGATTATGATTTTGATTCGTACCTATCCAGGTTACCTCATAAAAACCTACGTATGTTATTATATATATAAAATAGGAGAGTCGTAGAGAGACGAATATAAATAATTTTCTTATTTGTGGAGTTAGTTAGAGAAAGCCATGCAAAAAAAGGGTAAAAAAAACGGCGGAAATTTTACCTCATTATTATTAGGTATAGATTATTATTAGATATAGATATAGATAAAATTTTAAAGCTATAGTTTATTTTAAGATGAGTATAACATCTAGTATAATATAAGTTGATATTAGTAATATGTTAGACGAGATTTTGTACAATATTTTTCTCACATGTGCGTATATTTATATGTGTTGTCAAGGAGCATTTTGTACCCGAAGGAAAGAAAAATAAGTAGGCAACATATGTGTGCGCATGTATATTCACGCGTGCTGTTTATCTGTCACGAGGATGAAAGAAGAAGGCTAGCAAGCTGTTCAGGATGTCCCAGAAGTCAGCTAGCATGGCTCAGGAAGGCAAGGCCGAGTGCGTGCATCTGTACGCGCTTGACTCATCGTGTCTTCTCTTCAAATACGTATACATACGTACAGCAAGGGTGTACTATATGTGCAAACTGCGTACAAACAGGAGATGGAGATTGATTCTTCTACGTGTGAAAAGCTAATAAGGCACATACGCATGCATGCACTACCGGAACTTGAAATTCCGTGACGGTTTCGCATTTTTTTTACGGTTATTGCATAAACCGTTAGGGTAAATAGAATTACCTCGACGGTTTTAAAAAACAAATAGAAAAATTGATATTATCTTGATGGTTTCTGAAAAACACACAGGGAAATTAAATAACCGTCAGGGAAATTCCTAATTAACCTGTGAGTGCACATAACTGTCAAGTTAATTAGATAACCGTCAGGAAAATTTCTAATTCCTTGACGGTTTCGTATTTCTTTTACGATTATTGCATAAACCGTCAGGGTAAATGGAATTATCTTGACGGTTTCTGGGAAAACACACAGGAAAATACTAGAAACTCAAGAACATGAACAAAAGGTTTTCTCCTTTTAATCTGCGGTGAAATTTTGTAACTAGTTTTTCTTCCTAATGCTAACTCCAAATGATATGTTTCTTTTTTTAGTTATATCTAAAATCATGATCTACCAGTTAACAACATTTGTTTGGATACCAATTATTATTTCTTTGTTCTTTTGCATATGTTTATTTTCTAATAATGTATATAGAGAAAGCACCTTGTGAAACAACCATTATAAAATGTCTTTCATACTCCAAACATATTTGTATATAAAATAGGCTACATACATGTGTTGAAGCTTCAAAATTTTTGGAACCGATTTTATATTTTCTTAGTCTAAATGAATTTTTGCGCGTTTATCAAAAATAATTCCAAATTGAACAGTGGGTACCTCCAATAAGATTCCAAAAATATTCAAAATTTATATTTATGCTCATATGTTTCATTCTAGGCCATATCTAGAGATGGATGAAAAAAATCATTTGTTTTGCTATGGATAATTTATCCTTCTATCTCCAAATTAACATAAAATAATTGTAATAATTTGAAACTTTGTTAGAAAATCCTACAAACTTGCATGGCAATATGTTTTTGGTGTACAATGTTCCAATAAAAATTTCAAATGTTTTTGAAAAAGAGGTGCCATACATTGCTCACAAATGGTACATCTCTCACATGGTTATAAGAAACTATGTGAGAGATGTGTCCATTTGTGAACAACGCATAGTACTACTTTGTTAAAATAATTTAAAATTTTATGTAAATCTTATACACTCACATTATGTCCCCGTACTAATTCTTAGAATTTTTAGAGCACTTTATGATATTATTATTTTTTCGTTGGAGTTGCCAAAATAGTAGTTTGAATAATGTTCAGCAAAATACTTAATTTTTCCATCGGTTTCGTTGGAATATGCCTTCTTACATATATTTATTTTCTACTAATTCTTGGACATTGTTAGATAGGACATGTAGTTTAAGTTGTAGTATTTTCATTCTAAAATAAAAGGAAAAGGGAATATTTAATTGTATTATTTCATTTATATTGTATAGCAATTCAGCCCATGCAGACGGCCCAAATCGGCCCACCTAAAAACCCTAGACTATATATCCCCTTCCTCCCTCTCTCGTTTCCCTCTCCCCCTCCCTCAGTCGCGCCGCGCCGCGCTGCACTACTCTCTCTCTCTCTTGGGCAGGGGCGAGGCCCCTCTGAGACTTCGACTGCGCACGATGGCGCGGCACCTCCGGCGGCGGCGCGGAGCCGAGGGTGCCCCTCCATCTCCTCCTGTACTCCAGCAGCACCTGCGTCCCCTGCCGTGCCTCCTTTCCCCTTCTCCCCATCCTTGCATCGAGGGCAGCGGTGGCTTCCTTGGTTCCTTCAGCCCCAACAACCCCTCTTCCCAGCGCCGAACGCCAGATCTCGTCACCGCTCCTTCCTCTCGTCTCAGCGCCGCTACTCCTGTGAGGCAGCCACACGATTCTAGCCACCCCCTCTCGGGAGATCTGGTGCCGATGAAGCCTGCATCGGCCTCGACATCCCTCCCACGTCGGCCGCAAGCAGGAGCTGCTGGCAGTGCCCTCTCGCGTCGGCCGCAAGAAGCACAAGCAAAAGGTGTGTCGTGCTGCCTCTCCCTTCTCATGACCAACGAGGTTTATTTCTAGGGACCAGAGTGGATCTAGTATCTCGATATGAATATCATCTCTGTTCTAGTGCTAGCTTTCCTCAATACCTTCTCTGACCTAGTGCTAGCTGATGATTTGGAGCAGAGTAGCTTGGATTTTTCATATGCACGGATCTTGTGCTAGCTTGTGACTGGACTAGAGAGGAGTGCTAGAACATGATTAGGAGAAGCGGAGCAGAATGAGTTTTCAGATCCTGTTGAATAAATGCATGTATCATCTCCACAAGGTAATTAACTGAATGGGCTAAGTTTATTTCATCCTTTTCTAATTTCCATAATAAGCATGATTCAGTAACTCATTCTTTGTACACAAGGACTATATTTTAGGTTCAGAACTATGAATTAGTGCAGAGGCTAGCTGCTGCAACATTACATCCTAAAATCATTCGTCTTGCAACTTTTAGATTAAGCATGGTTTGTTCAGATTGAGATATAGAGGATGGATCGATCACTTAAAAAAGCAGGATCAGGATTTATGTAGGTTGAGATCTTGCTCCATGATCTGAGTAAAATGTGAATGCACAATGGTTTTAAAGTGATATCAGCTTTACTAAGATGTTGATAGAAATTTGTCAGTGTTTGCTAAGGTTAATAACATTAGAAGTTCATATAGATAGAATAATTTCTTGTTTAGTTCCTTAATTTATTCTTGTGTTCTTTTATTAAGGATATACTGCAAACAGTAATCCTATATAGTTCAGAGTAGTAATTTACATTGTAAGTGATAATAAAAGACATTGTTATTTGCTCATATGTGGTGTTCTTGATTTTGCAACCACTTTCAGAACTGTTGCACTTGTGAAGGACATTGCTGCTGAATATGTCACTGACCTGGTAAGTTTATTTTGTGTAGTTGTGTGTGAGAGTGGGATGAAAATGACCCAGAACCCAGATCATTCGTACATGTAGCCTGTAGCTGTACATACATGTTTGCAATTTTTGTGCGAGATGTAGCAGCCCTCTTGAATGCTGCAGTTCACAGATTTTCAGCAGGAGTTTCTAGTTCACAGAACCTGAGAGTGTTGCATGTTTTTTTCTCTGAAAACTGAATGTCATTGTGCATTGTCTGGAAATGGATGCAACATGTCTCATTTTACTTGTCTGAATGCCATTGTGCTTTTTTTTTGATTTTGCTTAGTTTATTGGTAAATTTATTGATTGCTATTATTATTATGCAGACCATCTACAAAACATTAGTGTGGTAACTGATAGACAAGCTGGAGCATCAATACTAGGGAGATGTGGGGTTGCAGCGACAATGACGAGGCTGCCGCCGTTGCTTCGTCCAGTACTCTGCTGGTAGTAAATGCTTAGCTAGTACGTACTCATGGTTGTGCAAGAGCTTGTTATGCTGATGCCAAATATTTGGAGAAGTTGTTTTGGGTAGATGGGTGTCAAATGTTTAGATGTATTATGTATTTCGGTATGTTGATGCAAGACATCTTTGTATGTATTGGATTCATGTTATATTTATTGGATTCAAGCTATATTTAAAATAATTGTGTATTTTTTGTGCAAATGATATTAAATATATTGTTTTTTGAAATGTATAGAAAATGCAATTGCATTAATTAGATGTATATCATTGTCCTGTGGGTCAAAATTTCCTCGGCGGTTTAACACCGTCAGGGAAAATATTTTCTTGACAATTGTAAGTTGACAGGGAAAAATTGAAACCGATAGGGAAAGTGCAATTTTTTGACGGTTACTCAACCGACAGGATAACTACCCTTTTATTCTGTCGGTTTTTTACCGTCAGGTTAAATAATTATTCTGTCGGTGATGTACGATTTCCTGTCGGTGACGGACCGTCAGAACATAACCTCTATCCGTAACGGTGTACAATTAGCCT